GTGGGTAAATAATAAAAACACTGTCTCTGTATAAAAATTATTAATTATTGTAAAAACTAATTTAAAAAAAATGAAATAAAATAAAAATAATAACATTTAATTATTAGGTACTATTGGTGACTAAATGTAATTGTCTTTGTGAGATGTTGCCTAATTCTTGTGCTAGGTTCATTCTTAGTTGAATTATTGTAAAATAGGTTTTTAAAATAAGTTTAATTAACTGCAAAAAATGGCTCTGTAAGGGATCTTCCTCTTTAAAATGATTTTCTAAACTAACAAATAACGTATTATTAAATTTCCTTATTGATAAGGATATCAACCTTATCATAATATTTTGTGATGAAAAGTTTGTTTCTGATTTAATTAAACCCTCACCGATCAGACACACTGTAACTACGTCCCTCGATGGTTTACAGAGAGTGCCTCGATTTTTTTTATTTAATAATAAAGAAAGAGAGTTTTGAGATGTTAAGACACTGGCGCATTCATTGCAGCTTAATATTTTTATTAATTTTCTGCTAACAAAACCTGCAATATATCCGACAACATCACACATATGTATGATCAATTTAAAACATTATTGTAGTTATAAATGAAAGTGTCCTCTTCCACATCTGAAAATTCTTCATATTCATGCAAAAGGTCCATAGTTACACTTTCAGATTGATTTTTAGCTGTGACATTTAAAATTGAGGTGTTGTGCCAGGCAATTAGCATTATCAGAAGAGGCCATTTCGCTGTGAATTAATTGTCTTTTGTAGGCATTTTCAAAGTGATATGCTGTCGGGTTGTTTGAAAAGCCACCCCTACTACGTATGGCAGATAAATACATCTCGAGATGGTCCTGACTTAATCTATATGTTAAAAGAAATTTTAGTTTCACTCCTTTCTCCCTTTTAGCCGTACAATTTATTGCCGAACAGGATTCGACCATTATAATAAATAATCTATACACTATTTAAAATAGATTACTTAGGTCCCTTTTTTAAAAAAAAAACTCTTTAAATTGAATTAAACCTTCTAAAAACAGTTGAAGACTTGCCTAAATGCATTTAAACGCACGAGTTAATATATAACTAAACATCAAATGTGTCCCGGTGTGGCTCTATCCTCTGCTGCCCGTCTCTCTTGCACTGCTCTGGCGTCAATGCAATACGGTACGGGCGGGTCCACAGTATGTAACGTCAATGATTATAACTTATGTAGTACGTCCGTGGAAAACGTGACGTAGAACGTTTGAATTTGACAGTCTGGCGTCTAAATTGTCATGAGCACTGACCGTTTATTCACCCATATCGGCTTAGAAATTTGGAGTAGGGCTTATAATATATATAGTCATCCAGTTTAATATGAAGGTTGGTGGTACTTTTTTAGGTATGTTTTGGTTCACGTTCTAAAATTGTGTCAGAACCATGCGCAAAACTATTGCGCAATCAAAGATATTACAACTAAGAGACCAAATTGTTTACATTTTTATGTGGCAAATCATTATTCCCACCAGATTCTCGTTTATTGCGTCTTTGCCGGTTTTATCAGTCTGTAAAAATTATTTGGAGAAATTACTTTCGAAAAATAAAATTTGGTGTATCCTATAACTATTATTTTATATTATATAAATAAAAATATGTTATTAATCAAAATATTCTTTAAAGTTTTAATATAAGCTAGATTTTTTATTAAAAATCAATATTAATCTAAACAAAATATTAGGGTTGCAAAGAACTCCGTAAATACGGCAACGCTGAATATCTTATTTTACGAATTTACAACTAGTACCTATTTTTATGAATGAAATGTAGTTACCGTAACCAGCCGCAACGTTGCCAATCGGGTCTAACAGCTATTTTGTATTTCTGACAGTTCCTGTGTGACTTATCGATTTATTCATTTATAAAATACTATTTTTGTGAACTTTTGTGAAAAATATAAAGAATTATGGTACATGCATGTATAGTGTTCAATAAGGTTGATCATTTAGATCCGGAGAAAAGAAAACTTTGGTTTTCTCTAGTAGGGATCCTTGAAAATGAGCCCCTTCGTAAAAATCCAGAGTATGTTCAGAAAACTTTTTTCCTGAAGATGTTTTGATACGTGCAAATGGTTCTAAATATATGAGAAAAGATTCAAACCCCAGACGGTGTGAGGGCTTTCTATTTTTGGATGACTTATCCAACAGGTTAAAATACAAAATATTAATTTTTTGTTTACCTCTAAACATTATTTATTGCCTATATGTACGTATATCTAATGTATGGGTTTTAAGTTCTGATTCAACTGTTTTTGGAACACCACCTGCTGCAAAAAAATATTGCAGTAAGTAATAACATTAATAACTAAGCATAAAAAAATGAATTGAAATTTTAGTTAATAAAATTACGGTATTTAATATATTTAAAACGTTATTTTAAAAATTTTTACAGTTTTTTTACGTTATTTTTTGCCATACCATGTTTTTGTAATTATTAATTAAAAAATTATATATTTTTAGGACAGTGTTTTATTTAGATACCCCTACTTACTTAATGTTAATTTAAAATTTTAAATAATTTTGGTTAATATCATACCAGGCAAATATATAGTAAAGCCAATAAACTATAAATCAATAAATTTTAAAAATCGGAAGGTAACTTGAATTCTCTTGTATTTGAATTTACTTGTACTTGAATTTACCTACATGAAAAAATCATCATAATTATATTACTAAAAAAATGTACCTACTTATTTATTTTTTTAACATACTACTTTGACAATACTGGTAAGTTTAAAACTCTACGCCACTGGCGAGCATATTATGGACACTGTTTACAACGTTGCCAGCCGGTCCTAAGATATCTGTCTTTCTCTCTTCCACTCACTAACAATTTTAAAACAATAACAGTCCGCAATTGTATGGGATTTATGAATGAAACATTTTGTCTCTATGTTGTAATGTCTTTGTGCGCAATGGTCCTTATTTCTGAAGAGATCTGTAACAATATCATTTGTACTCGAAACAAAAACACCGCCAGAACAGCTAAATGTCAAAAAGTAAATTATAAATAAAAAAGAAGAAATAACACAGGGCCAGTGTCTAAGTAAGAAAGAGGCCATGTACTATTGTAATTGTGTTATTTTTTATTTATAATTTACTTTTTGACATTTAACTATACTGGCAGTGTTTTGATTTCGAACAGAAATGAAATTGTTACAATAGTTCTGCGCATGGTTCTGGAACAGCTGAGTGTATTAAATACACGTGTATTGTGGTATTTAGGATGTCGTAGCTTCTATATCTATTTAATTTAGTACAATGCAAGACAAATGATTTTGAAATCTGTGTAAAAATCTATTAAAAAAAAGATAGATTATCTTGAAAAATACCTGTAATATGAGCCATTTTCGACCAATTTAGTCTTGCTCTAATCTTCATAATAATAATAATAATAATAATAATAATAATAATAATACTCTCCCTAATTCACCCCCTTACGAGTGAATTTTAACCCCAAAAGCTGAGCTTGTGCGGGGAAAGGGACGGCTATTATTATTATTTGCTGTAGCGCTCCGGGGCGACTTAAAGATGATTGATGGTGCCATTTGACTTACAGGTGAGGAAAACCCAGAAAACCTCACCCACCATCATCGAGACGGTAATGTATGGCGATTTTCTATAATCTGCATGTCATATCAACAGAAATTGAATTTCTATTAATACGGCACACATCAAATCCTATACCGAACCATGCAATTTAATTAAAAATCCACATGGTCTGGTCTGGGATTCGAAGCCCAGCAGTCTCTGACACATAAACTTGCTTATAAATGAATATAAGCGCGTTAGACCGCTACAACACCGGCCCGATAAACTTTTAAGTCCCTTCTAAGTCCCTATCTATATTGTTTGAGCTTTTTAGGTCCCACTTGTCCGATTACCAAATAATATTTAAAGAAATAAGTCAAATCCCTTTCTGATACGCCTATGCTGTAGAACTCTGGAAGTGTTGCCAGAATTTATCTTCGAGAACAGTGCGGTGCGCAGCATTTTTTTATAAATATACGAATTAAGCGTCATTATGGTCAATACATTGACAAGGTTTTCTTACGTTTAGAACTTACAGCTTTGTATGGCTCCGAAGATATTAATACAAAAAAGAATGTAAATGAGTAATTGACATTTTTAAGAGAAACTCCATTGCATAATGCATATTCAGAGGTAGTAAAATTATGTGAGTTAATGTTGACAATTCCAGACACTGGTGCTTCCTTTGAACGTAGTTTTTCCGCACTTTAACGCATGAAGACTTACTTGCGAAATTCGACAGAAATGTGTATTTATTAGCAATTTAAAACAATCTTTTTAGGGAAATATCGCAATATCCGTGTTTTTACAACGAATTTATAGACGAATTTATAAAAACTGAGAGAAGAATCACCATAAATATGTAAGTTTTTGACATTGGTGCCTTCCCTGTTCTCCAATTTCACAACACGCCCCTGCGTTTAGAATATCTCTATTGATAAATGTGCTTTGGTCGCTCTTGAATTTCCTTTGGCCATTCTATAAACAAAATACATATCCGCCATTTCAACATTTTTAAATTGATCCATTATTTAATATTAGATAAATAAATTAAAAGTAAAAAACTCTTTAAATTACATTTAGACAAAATTTACAACTCTTTAAAGCTATATCAGTTGTCAAATATGCTTGAAGAGTATTTTTGTTTCCAATGCTCTCTTACTTTTTATTTTCAACAAATTGCAGTAGTAATACTGTCGTGCGAGCCATTTTCGACCAGTCCGGTCAGGCTGTAATCCTTTAAGTATCTTTCTGCCTTATTTGGGCCTCTTACGGTCTCCACTTTTACAATTACCAAGAATATTCGACACGGTTATGGATATTTCAACAGCTTGTGTTTTGAAAATAAAGCTTTTTAGGACCTACCTTTAAAATGAAATATCTTAAAATTGGAGAGCATGTTAAAATTTTGCCACATATTTTATTGTTGTTTTTTTTTTAGAGGGTTTACTATAGAAGTAGGATCCGCTTTCACCGTTCTACTTGCTAGTAAAATTGGTATTCCAATTTCTACTACTCATTGCAAAGTTGGATCGGTTGTTTTCGTAGGATATTTTAGTTCCTCCAAGCGTGGTGTCGACTGGAGTCTTTTCAGGTAATTATCTCTAATAGAAAAGCATTGCAATATGCCAAATTATCTAAAAATATCTTAAATTTTATTATCTTAAGAATAAGGATAAGAACATTTTTGTTATGAGTGTATTTTTGGAACTGTTATTTATTGAAGTTGTGCCAAACATTATTATTAGAGCAGAAAATTACTCGAATAGTAGTTTTGCGGAAAATAAAATATATTTAAAGTGTGTCACATTGTACACAATATTTGTATTTTGATCAACATTATTATTAAAGTGAAAAATAGAATTTTGGCATAAATGAAATGTTTTTTAAGTAGACAGAAGATCGTATTTATATTTCAATTTTTTTTAGAAACATAATTTCTGCATGGGTTGTGACAGTTCCAGTGGCAGCCCTGATGTCAGCCGGTACCATGTTGTTGTTGAGTTGCATAGTTTTAACGAAGGTTCAATAGATTATAAACTGTTAATAAATGTTTAAAAAAAAAATCAGTCAAAAATAGCGCCCCGCCTCAAAGCCATTTTAGTAGTCGTAAAGATTTCCCCCCTCAAAAAAAAGTAATGTTCCATAAATAAGTTTTGTAGAATAGTTAAATCTACGGTTTCAGCTTTTTATATAGAATTATAACTTTTGCAGTCGTAGAATCTAATATTTAAATTGCAACAATAATAACTGTCGTACCTTTTTTACTGACCCACCCTATATGTTGTTTTACACAAAAACCTTAACCGTAGATTTATCTATAGACTTGGCCACACCTGTCTCTGTATTAAGTTTTTTAGATAATTATTAAAATTACCTACCATTATTATTTGTGTTAGATCTACTTGAACTAAATTACTAATGCTAATAGTATTAAAAAAATTAGATATCTGAAAAAAGAAAAATGAATAAAAAATGAAAACTGCCTTAAAAAATATTTTAAAAATAATTGTGGACCTTCTGCTCGTTGCTCTTATTAAAGACTAGTCAAAATTATAGAAATAGACGAACAGCTTCTTTGCTAGCACATAAATAGAAAAAACAATATGCTAGAAACAGACCTATAAACGTTTTAATAAATTAGAAAGAGTTAACATATAGCTGCCCAAGTGGTCTCTGTATTTTTTGACAATTGATGTAGCCTTTGACTTGTTTTTTTCTAATATTTGACGTATCTTTTATGACATGATTTGAAGTTTAAATCATTTGACACATGACGTGACTTTCGTGACATTTGACATGACTATTCCGACATTTAACGTTTTGCTAGCACATAAATAGAAAAATCTGATGTGTCCAACACATGACTTTCCTATCTAGTTATTACAGGCTTTTTCCGTTTATTGTGTACAACCTATTGCAGCATCTCTATAAATGTTTAGAGGATAAACTAAATATATACATTGTCCACATACATCTACCGCGAAACATTTTTCTATAGATATTCATTGAAAATGAAAATACTGAAAAATTTAAATTTAGAACTTTTCCTACAATTTTTCCATTACGGTCCATTTAAAAAAAATCATGTATGAACAAATATTATAGAGATCGATATCGCAAACAACTTTTATTTCAACAATTTTCATAAAAATCAGAATTTTGCACATTTTGTCAAATTTCTCGAATACGGTCCATTTCAGGAAATTTTTACATTTGGCAAAAATTATAGATAATAATATTAGAAGTAACTTTTATTTGAACAATTTTTTTTCCAAACATAAATAACAGATATATTCCATAAAATATAAAAATGGCCTCCCATAAAGTACCCCCCCAGATGTTCCGACTTTGTCCAAAATCTAATCATTTTACGTCAGGCCGAAATAAAACTTAAGTTTAAAATTTATTGATTTTTTCTTTATCCGTTTTTGAGTTTTCTTCAAATTTCGAAATTTACACATTTTCTCAAATATCTCGAATACGGTCCATTTAAGAGAAATTATCTATAAGATAAAAATTATAGAGAATTATAATACAAACAACTTTTGTTTGAACAATTTTTATAAAAAAAAATATTTTTTTACATTTTGTAAAATTTCTCGAATACGGACCATTTTAGGAAAATTTTGTATATAACAAAAATTATAGATAATAAAATAAGAAGTAACTTTTATTTAAAGAATTTTCTTCCTCAAACGTAAATAACAGATATATTCCATAAAATATAAAAATGACCACCTATAAAGTACCCCCCCAGATGTTCCGACTCTGCCCAAAATCTAATCAGCTCATTAGACGCTAGAACAAAGCTTAAGTTTGAAATTTGGTGTTTTTCCGTGTATCGGTTCATGAGTTATGCGTTATACAGACACACACACACACACACACACAGAGACACACACACACACACACACACACACACACACACACACACACACACACACACACACACACACACACACACACACACACACACACACAGACATCATCGCGAAAATAGTCAAAACGGATTCAGGGGACCTCAAAACGTAAAAATCCGTCGAAAACTCGAGGTCGAAAAAAATCATGATTCCTATACTTTCCTTATATCTGTATACAGATAGGAAAGTAAAAAACAATGTTCCTAAACGTTTTAATAAGTAGGAAAGAGTTAAAATAGAGCCGCCCAAGCGGTCCCTCTATTTTTGACATTTGATGTAGTTCTGACGTTTTTTTTCTGAGACTTGATTTACCTTTTATTAAAATTAAATAATTTGACGCATGACGTAACTTTCCTCACATTTGACATGACTATTTTGACATCTAACGTGAAATAAGCGAAAAATGTCATAATAAAAAACTGATTTATTAAAAATTTTAATTTGTTAGTTTTCTTTTTCTATCTTATAACAAAATAACATTTGTAGTAAGATAAAAAAAAATTATTGTTGAAAAAATCACGAAAAATATGTCAAATTGTTTTATTTTATTTAGAAATAAACAATTATTTACTAAATTTTTCAAAAACTTATCATTACTCTTGCCTGAAGCTTGTATGAATTTTTCTATAATTTGTGTTAGTTAAAAAAAGTTGTTCGCCTATTTATACATAAAAAGGCAGGTTTTCTTTGAATTCTTATTCGATCTATTGGTATTCGGTATAACTTTTGGCGAATATTTTACTCTGTACTTACGTATGATTTTTTTCAATCGCCGTTAAATGTATATTTTTGATAAATATGAACGCCTAAGTACCTAAAAAATCTCATTAAATATTACAAAATCTATTGTACGTTGGAACTTTTTTATCAATCCAAATAAAATTCTTTTTTTTTCTAATTTTCTTTTCTTTACCTGCGCCTTTCAAATCATAGTCTTTTTTAAATTCAGGACGTGTCTTTGAGAAATTTGAAACACCGTTTTTCTTTAAAATATTCGTAAAATAATAGATCTTGCAACACTGCAGATTTGTATGTTGAACATATTTAGCTTTGATACCCAGTTATTTAACTGTGGTAAAATAACATTATTTTTTTACTCAGGTAAATAAATTTGAGATTTTTAGACGTATTGTTGGATATGTAAAATATATTAAAAATAGAAACACAAGTTGTATGTACTTTCATATCAACCCTTACGCGTTTAAGCTATATTCCGAATTTCGTTAAAAAATGTAAATATCCGGCCACGTGGCAGAAATCCCTACCATGGAACTAGCAAAACCGGACGACAGAAAATATAATTTTTTTGATTGGGATTGACGTCTAGAAGCATACATTTCATTGTCAGTAAGAAAGAAAAAATCCATCGATAAGCAACTTTGCTTTGAATTTCACAGATCACATGACCGTTCTCACTACTAGGACATAGTACATTTTGTTCACCCCATTATCTTGCATCCAACTACAAATAGCTAGCAAAAAAAGACGGCGTGCTACTTTTAGCAGTCAGATGAGGGGCTCTTACTTTCTAGCCTAGCAAAGATAAATCTGGCAACGCGGCGATAAAATCAATTTATACTGACATTTTAGCATACTTTTAAAGCCTAACGTGTCGTTTTCACTCCAATTATTTTTTCGAAAAAGATTCAGTTTAGGGAAAATTTATATCAAAACAGTTTTTGCCATAATTAGTTGTTAAATGTGGGTATTAAATTAAAACGAAAGTTTCTAAAATTTTTCGTTGTGAAAAACTGTATAATCTAAAATAAAAAGGTTTTTTTTTTCCTAGTTGAATCTTTTTGTGGTATTTTTAACCTAAAATTTATTCATTTAATTAAAATAAGTTTTAAAAAGTGTCTGGTGACCTATTGTTGACCCATTACAAGATGGATAATAACTTTAATAATTATTTCTATTAATTACCTGCTGTATTCCTGGCTATAAGTCCAATTACAATAGAATTTTAAAACGTATAATATACTTTTTCAATTTCGGAAGGACGATAATTTAAGAGAAAATGGCTAAATCCAATTCCAAGAGATAACTTTATTTCTATAAAAACAGTCGTAGTTTCCTGAAAATGAAATTATACGGGATGATAATGATTTGCAACCCGAAGGAAATTTAATAAGAACTCCTGTAAAAGCTAAACTTAAGCCAAATGTATGCCCTGTATTTTCCTAAATCTACCTAAATATTTGTTGAAACTTGCACCTATTCCCAGAAAATCACATACTGAAAGAAAAAAGTAATAGATCGAATGTTCTAATAAATTAAGAGATACGTTTTTAAAGGCCGATATTATCGAAAGTATTGAGGATCTAGTATCTAGTACCAAATTTTGAATCGTGACTGGAGCGTTAAAATAGTTGAAAATCTTAAAATCTGCGTTTATAGGCTGAAATATGTCATTAACGTATGTCACCTCACTTCGTAGCGCGTAGATTTGATGCTTTTACTCTCTGCGGTGTTGCCATGGTTTCTTCATGGCTAGATTTATAGTAGCCGGCACAAATAAATTTTACTATTCCACAATTAAATATCAGTATTATTAATATATCTATATATAATTCACAAAGACACCGCCGACGTTCAGCTTAGAAAACACAGTTGTCAAATTCCAAAAAAGTAATGCGTTCAATTCTATAACAGCTAAACGACTGTGTATATTTAGCGCATAGTACCCTTCGAGCAAATACCTATACTGGAAGCTAGTATCGAATGAATATTTTATACTTGGCATCGCTGTGCGATAAGAATCTGTCGGCTCGATTAATTGTAACAGCTTAATTTTAGCGTCTCCTATTGGTTGATTCGAGCCTTTCTCAATTTTCTATTTGCAGTAGCCCACGATAGCTCGTAAGAAATGCCCGTACACGTGGACTGGTATATCCAATAGTAATTCTGTTATTTTGTTCAACATATGTTCTAATTGATTTTATCCGACACGCTTCTATGTGTCATCGTCGTGTTGACTGAGCACAGATGGACAATGTTTGTTTATCCAGTGTTGTATTCACATTACTGCTTGGATTTTTGGTTTATAAAAAAAATGGATTTGAAAGTGATGAAAATATTGTAATCCCTGAAGGTATGCAAATAATTATAATTCTGATTGATTATTTTTTAAATAAATAGGATCAGTTGCACATCAAAAACAACTACATTGATATTTAAATACCCACATAAATTGTAAAATTTAAACAGTTCAAAGTCAGCTTTGGCAGTTTACATTATTGTTTACCTATACAGAGTGATTCACAAAGAAAAGGTTTTATTTTACCTGCAAATTCTACAGTGGAAAATATAAATTTTTGGCTTAAAACATAGGGTAAATTCATTTTGTACACTAAAATTTTTTCGTGTTATGTGTAGGGTATAAGGTTGTTAGTTAGCATGTAAGGTTTGATATTTGAGACGACATTAAAATAAAATAATAAAAAGTTACGATATAATTGCATTATAAACCTGAATGACACTTCAAGCGAAGATGATAGTTCTAATGTAACCACGTATCTGTTGGTTCACGTTATTTTGGAAAGGAACATGATATTGTTTCTATTTTTCTTCTCTAGGAATGTAACCTTGACGTGTTGAGAAGGTTTGCATGCTTCAATCACTTTAAAAATTAAAGCCAGACTAATACATTTCACAGTAATTTAAATTTTTTATATTAAGAGGATACTAATAACAGTTGCTCAAGCATTTTTCGTAACATCCTACATTGATTTTTAATAATCAATGTAATATTTAAATACTGAAAGTAAATAAAATAGTAGATAAAATATAGTTTCATGGCGATTTTTATTACAAGTCGTGAATATTTATTTCGGATCAATTTTGTAAGTGTTACCTTTAAAACTAAATTTAGTGATATTTAATAAATAATCGAAGAAGGAAATTATGCGAATAATGTGATATTTAAATACGGATAACATTTCCTCTTTAAAGCGTAACATACAACTAATTAGGTCCGTCCCTGGGTTGTCGTGGAACGTGTTTTCATACGATTTCCTTTGTTTTGCTTCCAACTACGGTAATTGTGCCCGACTTGCGAAGTTACGTTAATTTAGTCAACACCGTTGCCAATACTTTCCAAAATACATGATTTAATAAGAAATTAAAAAAAAAAGAGGAAGAAGAAACATATTAGGAGACGAAAAGACAAAAACTAAAATAAAAAAAACACACTTAAAACATATTTTAAAAAACAAACAGAAGGTGCGATATGAAAGAAAAATATGAAGAAGATACATTCATACATAATAAAAAATAAAAAATTATAAAAACACAAAAATATAAAAACATAAAAAACTCACTCAAACACGTCGACAAACACAAAAAAAACACTAGGAAAACGCAAATTTTAAATTTCTTTTTTCTCTACCAAAAACATCGATAACAGAAAACATAATTTCTTTTTTGTTTTCTCCGAATATTTTTCAATGTACGCTCATCATGCATACCCAGTCAGCCTATTTTCATTTATTATTCGCTCCGTGCGTGACAGCAGCGCCAACTATTTTATGAACTAACGGACGATATTTGCGTATACTGACAATACAATTTTTAATAGAATTCGTAATTAAAAAATATATTTGTTGTTTTTTATAAAAGTATATGGATTTGTAAAACAAGTTATTATATATTTTTATTACTTCAGCTAAAAAGTAGTAAAATCAATAAAAAACAATAATAAAACATAGGCAGGTATTTACGAGAAAATGTATGAGATGTTTCCTAAGCCTAATAAGTTGTCATTGAAGAATATGTTAAATAATGTAAAAATAAAAACAATACCGTTATAATAACGTAGAATCAAAACGTATTAACAAAAATAATTGGTACAGTCTGTTCGCCATACTTACGCGGGTTTCGGATTAAAAATTTTATGAGTATTTCCAGGTAAGTACCCGAAAGTTTGACCTGTTCTTTGGGGAAATATCAACTGCTTAAATGAAATGAAAAATAATGTACAACTTTTTAATTAAATAATAATGGAGAATCTTATGTATAATTGAGAGGAGAATTAAACTTCTTCATTAATGGAGTCTAATGTCGCTTTTAATAATAATAATAATAATTTTATATTACACATCACACAAAAAATATGGCCTATGTATAATAAGACGGTTAATTTAAATCTGACCATTAGGATAATTTTACCTAATTTCTTGGGAAGAGGCCTATTGGAACTGGTTGTCAATGGCTAATTTGAATAATTTTGTTAATCCGAAACCCTCGTAAGTATAGCGAACAGACTGTATATTTGCAATTGTAATTTATATTTTCTTCATTTTGAATTCGAAAGAATCCAAAAAAATTTATGAATAAAACTGGTTTCCTATCAATAAGTCACATGATTGCACTTCAGCCATGTATAATAATCAAAGGCAGAAATCTAATCCTTGCTAAACATTTAAGATTTAATATAAAATAATTTATTGTTTATTTAAAACCTTTCAATTTTCTGATGTCTATTATTTCCAGTATTACTGTTTTTATTACAAAATAAAGGATTGTTTTTTCTTTTTATTATACAGCTATCCATTTATTTCTTTTATTTAATTTCCATTTTGCTACTGAAAATTTTTATAATTTACAGTTTTTGCTAGTATTTTTACAATTTACAACAGCAACTCCGGGGGCACATTTTATTGTTTTTACCTATTTTTTAAGAAAAAAGTAAAATGTATACGTGTATTTGATACGCCAAAATTACAAAATATCGTTCAGAGTTCTTGAATTATCCGCAGCTTGCGCTAGTATCGCTTTTGCTTCCCCTATCAAAACTTCGCACTAAGAGAATAGACCGCAGCCATGTTTTAACATGCTTTAGAGTACTTTCGATTCACGCTGTCGTTGGTGGATGGGCCATAAATATTTTTAAAGCTTTTTGTATGTCTGGATAAAATTCACAATGTTTGGACGCTATATCATTAATGGAGAGCTCATTGTGTGCAGTAAGCTCTTTCATACTCTAGTTAGCTATCCACGTTTGGTATTCAGCTTCAAAATTGTCGTTCCCAAATTTTTTCTACTATTTTCATTTTCTGATCGGTAGTGAAAAAGTGTTATTTTTATGTTTTTGGGATGTAACACTAGAGTCTTCGGTAAAACGTGATGTGAGCGACGTGATAAGGGAATCCAGATATGCAATAAATATATTCAACCTATAATATTCTTCAACTATATTATCCTAAATATTATTTCTAGGAGTTCGTTGTTCGTAATGCACATCTTAGGCGTTGTTAATTACAGTCTGTTCGCTATAATTACGCGGGTTTCGGATTAAAATTTTTATGAGTATTTCCAGGTAAGTACCCGAAAGTTTGACCTGTTCTTTGGGGAAATATCAACTGGTTAAATGAAATGAAAAATAATGTACAACTTTTTAATTAAATAATAATGGAGAATTTCTTGTATAATTGAGAGCAGAATTAAACTTCTTCATTAATGTAGTCTAATGTGGCTATTTTAAACCTAATAATAATTTTATATTACACTTTACACAGAAAATATGGTCTACCTACCCTAATGTTATTTTAATTTAAATCTGACCATTAGGGCAATTTTACCTAATTTCTTGGGAAGAGGCTTATTGGAACTGGTTGTCAATGACTAATTTGCATAATTTTGTTAATCCGAAACCCGCGTAAGTATAGCCAACAGACTGTAAGTCGTAAAAGCTAGGGGGCAACTGCCCCCTTGTCCCCCTCCCCCCCCAAACGATGCCCATGTTCATATCCCAAAATTCCTAAGCGTTAATACTGATGTCTTCTATTTACTAAATTCTTCCTGGGAATAAGAGAAGTGAAAGACAAATTTATTCCACAAGAATAAAAAAGTGTATTTGGTCTTTGACAGCTTGAAACAGAAAGATGAGGTTTCTATTATTTTAAATTTTTTTAGACTGTGTATTCGTCTCCCATATTTTTATAAGTATATTGACTGCACCAGAAGGTGGAAAAATCCGAAATGTATGTACCTAGTACCTAAAATATAAAAAATCAAAATATTGACCAAATAAACCAAGGAACTTTTTTTATATAAAAAACATAAATATTATAATCCGTTGAAGTCAGCTTATTAAAGAACTGTCAAAAATATAAAATGATACAGGGTGTTTCATTCAAAAAAAAAAAAAAAGAATACCGACACTGTTAGGAGTTGCATGAATCGCCCAGTATTTTTATATTTTCGTTCGAAGAACATATAATTTAGTTTAAAAATTGATATTTCTCAATGTTCTAAAATAATACCAAAAATAAGTTTGTTTCCACACTGTATATTTTTATAAGGTATATTTCGTTCAAAAAAAATTGTTTACATCTTGACCTTTCCAAGGAGTAACGAATTGTTTATAAAATCATTCTATGAAACACTTTTTTTGGTGAACATTCAGTCTTGCGTGGAAACTTAGAAATTGTGTTTGTAAATAGTTCGTTATTATTTCAGGCGGTAAAAATAGGTAAGTATGTATTATACCTACCTAACGAAAAGTTCAAGTGTATTGTATTGCAGACTAGGTTAACCTTTACTTCGATCTAAAAATAAATTTAAGACAGCCCTCTCTTATCTAGATCACAAATTTAATTGCATCAAAGCAAATAAATTATAATTATTAATAGTCGTTATAAATTATATACAGAAACGAGTCTTTCCTCAAACAAATATTTTAGCCGCAACAATTTTATTTGCTGTGCTTTTTGGATTACCTATTTACTGCAAAAGAACTTTGAGGTAAGTGCCATCATTTTGTAAACATATTTTTAGTTATCTCTCATCTGTTTTAAAACCAAACTATAGTTTTAAATAAATACAAACGGGACTTAGTAATAGTGTGACAAAGTCATAAAAATACAAAAGATTGATCTTCTATAAAACGATAGGCAATTAATAATAGCCCCAGCATAAAGTATCACTCAATCTTCCATTCTTTTCTATATTTAACTATATCAGTCTTTTCATCTTTTATCCGCCTTTCAATTCAGCTATTTTCCATTAATAATTTTAATATATATCATATGCAAGAAAGTATTCGTTAAAAGGAAATCGAATAATTATAAATTGGACGTTGTTATACGCCCTTATTAAGACAGATGCACTTAATTGTAATCTTACTTGGACTTAAAAAAAAATCATTATAGCTCGTTAACTTGCTACAACTGAATATTAAATTATAAAACGCAAAAAAGCGAGTAAAGTGTACCTGCCTGTAAGGGCGTTTGGTTTAAACAGGGTACCAGACGTGAACTGAACGCTTTTTGTACCCCATTCGTTCTTTTTCTGGAAAACGAAATTTCAAAGAAAAAACCATAAAGGAAAATAAATTCTTTGCAAATAAAACTAGAAAAAAAAAACAATTCAATTCTAAAGTATCTTTATAAATAATCATGGCAGTGTGAATCCTCTGAACTAGAGTCATCATTTAGTTGAATTATGATGGGTTGTAAAGAGGGTAATACTACATATTCATCTTCTTCTTTGATAACATGTTCAACACAGTTTTTCCAAAGCTCTTGGCGGTCTGCTGCTAGAACTTTCTTTACGAGTTCTACAACTTCTTTACTCAGTTCTGGAGACTGATTACATTTTCGTAATTCTGATTTTAAGTTTGCCAATATTAACTCTATAGGGTTAAATATGCAATAGTAAGGAGGTAGTCTGAGAAGAGTTTGCACAGCTTGTCAATATAATACATTTTTTCTAACTTTATACCTTTAATAACAGTAAGCAATTCTTTGTTTGTTGGTCCTTTTTAACTATCACTGGCAGGAATAGGAATATTTTTTTCAGACATACAAGCTAAAATTTGAGCTTTTTTACTGCTACTATTTGGTATTTTAAGGAGTTGCCGCGAGTGGTAGGATGCGTTGTTCATAACGATTACTGACTGTGGTGGAATGTAAGGTAAAAGCTGTTCATTAAACCGTTTTTCAAATAATTCTGCTGTCATATCTTCATGATAATCAGCAGCACAGTTTTTAATTTGTTTAGCAGATAATAATAAAGCATTAGGCACGAAACCGTCTTTGCTTCCAGCGTGTACTATTATAATGCGTTTCCCTTTAGAACATGGCCCATTCAAACAGCAATTTTTACTACTGCCAACCCAACTGAAATTTACTACATCGTGACTGTCAAACCATGTTTCATCTAGATAAATTATGTGTCTATTAGAACTTCTGTAGCCTTTTATCTGACGCAAATAATCTTGTCGCCATTGAACTATCCTTGACGATCCGGTGATTGCCATCTGTTTATTCAATTTTTTTCTGTTTAAAACCACATGCTGACAAAACTTGACGCAATGTTTCCAAACTGGTATAAGTGTATCCTGGAAAATATGCCACCTTTTGCTGTATTACTTCCAATGTCGGAACCCTGTTCTCCTTATATAAACTATAAATTGTCCTTCGTATAAAATCTTGGGTAGCTCTGTCAACTGATTTCAGTTTTTCTTTACATGTTTTTCGGTTTTATGAATAATCCACAGCAACCGCTTTCGTGACTACCGGATAAACGGAAAATTTATTTACTTTAGTTAATTCAGCAATTGTTATTATGAACGCATTATCAGCCTGCTGAATATTTTCCTTTTTTAAACATTCGAATATATTTAAAATAACTTGTTGTGTTTGTATATCTAAATCCTTATCGTTAAAGTCATACCTGTCTTTAATCTCACTACACTGTGCAATTTCATTTTCTTCATTCGCCCATGGTCTAAAGAACGCCATATTTATATTTATTAAAAGAAATTTAAATTAAACCAACCACACATACAAAACACACCGCACGACAGTACTCCACTGATATCGCAGACTGTCTTCCAGGAATATTTTCGAACACCTGCCTTCCGTAAACCTTCGGCCAATACAGTGCATTTAAGTTTACGATTCGATGTTTTCATTGGTAAACAACTGATGGTTCGTTTAATATTTACCGCTTTGTATAAGGGGAGTAAACATTATTTTTCGTTTCTTAATTTGGCATGAGTACCGTGCGTATATATTAAATATTGATGATTCCCCACATAACTGTGTTCTGCAATTGATAATGGAAGGACTATAACAATAAATTAAAAATCAAAATTTAGTATCAAAGAAAACGAAAATCTAGTTTTTTTAAGAACTTTCAATCAAACAGGGTAACAAACAACATAATGGTGAGCAGGAATGAAGAAAAATTAAATTCGTTGATCAAATCATATTTAAAAAAATACGATTGCTGCATAAGTGGAAGATCGCAAGACCTTTGGTGCATAAAACAATCTCCGTTGGGTGGTTTTGGGATCTTCGCCACGCAAGATATCGAGCCAGGTGAGCTGATCTTTTTGGATCACCCCGTACTTCTAGGACCCAGGTATCTGAACGATTTACCAGATAATTGCACCACTTGTTATTGGTGAGTATTCATTTATAATATAACCTGCTTTTTTTGTGCATTTTTATGAGTTTCAAATTAGAAAAATCTATTTTTCAAGTTTTAAAATTAATTAAAATCGATTTTTCTGAATTGTAAAAGGGAAAAATCTGGTTTTCTCAGTTATAAATTGAAGATAAAATATTTGTTGACCATTTTAATCTTCCATATACAGGGTCTCATTAATAATAGGACACAGAACAACTAAAGATTCTCTGATTAAAAATAAGACGATTAAACGAAACATGCTTTTATAGAATATTACTGGTTTTCGAAATAGTTAAAGTTAAAAATTAAAAATTTATTAATGGCTACCTTTTTTTTTGTTTCTTTGTGTAATTTTACTAAAATCAGTAAACATTGTTGGTGTCATAATAAATACCTATCATCAAAACAATCGTATTGCATACATCTTAGATTAGTTTTTCATTGTAATATTTTTTATAATAATATTTTAGTATATCGTACAAAAAATATACAACTTTCAATTAAGCAGCTCTAGAGAGATAAAACAAGTATTTGAAATAAATAATAATATTCCAAATATAAAAATTATTCCCAATAATATTCGAAGTATAGCAAAAAACCTGGATGAGTTTGAAATAATTTTAGAAGACCTAGACACATCTATTAATTTGTCATGAAGTCCGACTATGTCTAAGCTAGCAACCGATTCGTGATCGAAGCAACGCTGACGTGTGGAAACAGCCGGCTTGCGTCTCGAATACGACGGAATGTCTGCCGCTGATTCCCTCGAAACATCTGGAAGGGCGGGGAGTGCCGTTTAGTCATGTTCGAGAGCCTCTCGTATTTTCCAGTAGCAGAGTTGGATTAATATAAATAGTCGACGTATCAGCGCCGAGTTTAGTTTAATATAGAACGTTGCATTGAAAAGTAAAAGTGTAAGAAATAAATTAGAATTGTTAGTTAGTGTTCAAATATTATACAAATTAAATAGTACGTCTGAAATAAATTGTAAAAAGTGTGTTTTTAAATAAATAAATTAAAAATAAATTAGACTTTCGTCACAGATTGTACTGTATTTACAGAAACTAGAAGTATACCAAAGTATACTCGGAATCAAAATGATGGTGTGTTGGTTTTCATAAAAACAGAACTATATCTAGATCATATAAATTTAAAGCTAGGCGATTCCTTTGTATTACGTGTAAAGTCAGAATATAACAAAAACATTGTCTATATAAACTCATTTTACAGATCCCCTTCAGATAGACATGTGGACATATTTTTGGAAGGTTTAAGAGATATATTAGAAAATCACTCTAAACAATTTGCTTACAGTATTTTAAATGGTGATATTAATATTAACTTATTTGCTAAAAATATACCGGGTGTTCAAATTAAAGTGTTACAGCTAACTACCGCCGTTTATAAAAAAATCGTTTCAGACGAAAGTTTTATAGTTTTGTGGAGAAAAAATTTTTGGCTAAAATCGTTTTTTATAGCTAACCATATGATCAACTTTTTTTCGCCCAGCAAAATTTTCAAGTAGCTGTTATTCAAAAAGTAAAAGTCCAATAAAAAAAATATTTCCATCAAAAGTTTCTTATTTTTTTATATACTTTAAGAATATGTAAAAAAAAATGGGATTCCCATTTAAAAAAACAAAGTCCACCTCGATATGGCCATAGTATGGTCAGCTATAAAAAAATGAATTTAGCCAAAATGTTTCCCCAAAAAACTATAAAACTTTTGTTTCTAAATTGCATATTTTCGGCGGTATTTAACTGTAACACTTTAATTTGAACACCCGGTATATATAATAATATATATTCGCTATAATAAAGCAAAAATGCAGTTTGTGTGAACAAATCTTAATTTGGCTAACAGTTTTTAGATAAAAAACAAGCATATTCAAAAAATTAATTTATTAAAGAATATAATACAAATCCAATATTTAAAAAATGTAATGTATATGAAAATTGTAATATGTATGAAGTAGCTGGATGGCTGCTACATATTCTGGGATACAACTCTGTCTATCATTTTGTGAAGAACTTTATCTGTGAAACAAGAAAGACAGTATAAGTACAATCTCATTAAAATAAATGTATTAATAAAAAATTATAAGTCCGAGGAATACTTTATTTTTTAATAAGTCCAACATCTACGATACAGCTTTGCAAACCCAAACGTCATGAAACAGAAATTTCACAGTATATGCCGCGTTTGAGAATCCACATCGGATGCAACTGAGATAGTAAATCTTTGATCACGTGATTCAGTTTACGTAAATGTAATGGGACAGATGTGTCCGATTTAAAATAAACTATTTGAGGCGCTGTTCTCCACATCTCGGCAAATGGGCTAAAATAATAATTTATAATACTCTTAATATTACCTCATTTTAATTATTGTGCCACTATACTGTATTTGCTCAACCTTGCAATGATTGCAAAAGTTGCAAAATAGAGGTCTGAGGATAATACTGAGCTGTTCGAGATTGGAACCAATCAATTCCATGTTGAATGTGGTTCAGTGGTTGCCTGTTAAAAAATATTTGCTATTCTATTCCCTGCTTTTTATATTTAAAATTAAATCAGGAATCTCCCGAGTATATTTACAAAATATTTTAAGTTATAATCAGGATGTTCATGAACATAAACAGGTAATAAGAAAAATTTTAGAGTTTATAAGGCCACGAAAAAATGTACACAAAATTCAGTGTTTTTTAAAGGTGTACAGGCTTTTAATAATTTGCCTGAGGATATTAAAAATGTTCTTCAAATGTGGCAATATTTAAAATAAAACTGCGTGAATACCTGTTGACCTATTGACGTTTTTTTTCTCTTTCTTGTTCTTTTATTGTTTTGTATAGTTGACATGTAAGTGTACTGTATCTTATGTATTTTTAATTGAATTTTAAATGTATGTTGATTCTATATTTATATATTTTTTATATTTTAAACGTGAAGATGTATTGACATGTAAAAAATAGTTTTTTTGACTAAATAAACGATTTATATATAGGTATGTGGATAAAAAAACGCTCGAGATGTAAAAAATGCATCTGATGTGGATTCTCAAACACATCAATAAGTATAAGATAAATGAGTAGAGTACTAACTTTCCTTCTCGAAAAGAAGTCCAACATATATTATTAGTCTGCTTCTTCTTCTACGATACAGCTTTGCAACCCCAAATGTCATGAAACAGAAAATACACCGTATAAGTATAAAATAAATGAGTAGATTACTAACTTTCCTTCTCGTAAAGAAGTCCAACATATATTATTAGTCTGCTTTTTCTTCGAACCTTTACTTGAAGTAGAAGGTGTTTGATCAACATATTCAATTTCTACGTTATTTGAGGAAAGTCCATCCGCTACTCTTCCAGGAACTGCTGGTAGGAATAGCGTTGGAAATGCTTCAGGTGTTAGACCTCGACGAGAGCCAACTACTTTATACTTCTCTTCAAAATGTTTATGACATACTACAAAGGTGGAATACATTTGTAGTCTTATTATTAAATCTTGGACAACGAACAGCAAGTGCACAAATATCAAATAAATCGGGTGAATTCGTAGGGTGGGGCAGGCGATGCATCTTGTTGTCCACATCAAGGCAATTCGGTACACATTTTCTATAATTACGCATCTTTATGAAAAAGCACAAAATAACAGCGGAAAAAGCACAAATTTATAATGGAAAAACAAGCTCATTAACAGTGGTCAACTAAATCAATTAAGCAAATTGGAAATTAAAACAACTGAATACAACAGTCACCAATATAAATAAACAAAGTTCACGTTTGGTTTAAGCCAAAACGCCATGACACCCCCCACAAAAATCAATATTCACCTGTCCTTTACACTCCCACCACCTACCCCACCACCCGACTGCAGCGCCACGCGGACGTGGTTGATTTTTGCTCTATCCCAGGCCTGCGCATACCAGTTTCCCACCCCTGGTTTTACTCTACTTACTCATGCCGTACGCCACTGACGGAGTTTATTTAACTAATTGTTTTGCTGGTAGGTGTATTTTATGATACCAAAAATGCTTACCGAATTTATTAAAATTATAGCCATTAATAATTTTTGAATTTTTAACTTTAACTTTCGGAAACCAGTAATATTTTATCTAAGCATGTTTCGTTTAATCGTCTTATTTTTATTGAGAGAAAGTTGTTCTGAGTCCCATTCTTAATGAGACACCCCTTACACATTCTTATAGAGACATAATGCATATTTTTAAAATCTACTATTATAATATTCTTCACATAGTAGTCCGTAAAGAGTATTATAGGTTTACTTTCAAGAAACCAAAATTTTTAATAATGATCCAAATTTAAAAATATTTGTACCAAAATCCTTCCCATCATATTTTGATGAACTTTTTAAAATGTTCGTCCGTCCATTCGTCCGTCCGTTAGTTCGTTCTTCCGTCTGTTCGTCCTTCCGTTCGTCCGTCCGTTCGTCCGTCCGTCCGTCCGTCCGTTCGTCCGTTCGTCCGTCCGTCCGTTCGTCCGTCCGTTCGTACGTCCGTTCGTTCGTCCATACGTCCGTTCATCCGTTCGTTCGTCCGTAGGTCCGTTCGTTCATCCGTTCGTTCGTTCGTCCGTTCGTTCGTCCGTACGTCCGTTCGTCCGATGTCACGTTTTTTATCCGCACGATAAGTCAAAAACGAAAAATAATATCAAGTTTAAATTTTCAGGAAAAATTGGGCTCTATAAGGGAACGAAGCCACAAAATGGGGGGGGAGGTTAAGAGGGTTGAAATTATTAAATAAATCATAAATCAAAACTGAAAAGCGATATCAAAATTAAATTTTTAAAGAAAAATCAAGCTCTATTAGAGAACGAAGAATATTTATTTTGAAAAAAATTTGAATAAAAATAAAGAGTTAAAAGGGGGGCTGATATATTAAAAAACTCAAAAACGAAAAATGATATATCAAAATTAAATTTTCAGTAAAAATCATGCTCTATAAGGCGACAAAACCTATTGAAAAAATGGGTGAGTTAAGAGAGGGTTGAAATTAAAAAAAATCATAAACAAAAAAAGGGGACGAAGCAGAGATAACAGAGATATAAGCAGTCATTGATAAAATATAATATTCACGATGCCAACATTAATTCGGCAATCAATACATTCTATTTCTAGACGCGGGGCGAGGCGACGAAAGTTGAGAAATAAGAGAAGGGATAAAGAGAAGAATTTTACGCAGTTGTATCAATGAAAAATGTGTAAGACGCTGGCGCGCTAATAAAACACGACGTAAATTTCCATGCCAGTGTAAGCCCTGTGACCATTTCCAATCTAATATTACTAGGTTTTGGAATTTATTGAAAATTATTACATCTAATTTAGTTAAATTTAATATAACTAATATTCAAAAGTTTTTGGGTTCAGTTGCAACAAAATAGGTTGAATTATTTTAGCTTTTTAAATATATGTATATAATTTTGTAAAAAAAACGAGAATAATGAAATAGGCATATAGTATGGTGTAGATTAAACCTTATTTTGACTTTGCCTCCCACTTCAGTGTCACAAGCTGAATTTTTCAGGGATGAAAGTACATTATAAGCTAACTCTTATTCCGGAGGTAATACAAAATTAGACTGTGTAAAAGGGCACTATCATAAAAAATCGAATTATTGATACCACCGTATAGAAAAAAAAAATGCTTATTTTTTGTTCTAATGCTCAATTAGGTCTTTGTAGGAAGTAATTTTTTATAATTATTTAAAAAAATCATTTATATTAGCCGTTATGGTGAAAAAAAAAATGTAAACGTCAATATCTCGGTTTCAACCGTCTACAAATATGTGTAAAAAATCTTCTTTTAGAAATATACCTTTCATTTGAAGAAAAACGAAGGCCTAAATGAAAAAAACTATTCTTCATAAAAGTTTCGCCTATGTATTGACAAGGTAACAGTGCTTTCCGCATATTTTTGCTTTTAAATTAACAAAAATATAGCAATAAACAATTAGTGATGTCATGGTTTTACTAGAAAGCAAACATTAAAGGCAGAGCCTCTCGACTCTCTATGCATCTCTCTCAATGTTGAAATGTATGAAATCAGTTTGACTCTCTTATATTATTTTATACAGGGATTATTGATTTATCCACTATGAATAATAGTGGAGGAAAATGAAAAATAAGAAAATATAAACTATTTATTGAAGGTATAAATACAGTATATATAAGTATCGATTATAAACAGTAAGGCTATTGCTTTGCAAAATACATTAAATCCCCAATATAAATAAATTATAATAATTGGAAGGAAGTATATAAAGCATAAATTAATGATATATTAAAATTTATAAGTACAAGACTTTCAAACTAATCAGAATCAGATTCACCACACCAATCAACATTTTCCAAAACATTAGCGGCTGTGGTCAAACTATTTCTGCAGTTTTTTTGTGCCATACAGGTGCAGGAACCGATACAACAAATATTTTTTTCCTGCATTTGCAAATTTTGCTTCCACAGTCTAGAACAGAATATTAGTGTTAGAAAATTGTACATCTATGAAAATTATCGGTGTATAGTATCTTTTTTGCATTTCCATGATGTAAGTTTTGTTATGTCTGGTGGCAGGTCGGGCAGAGTCTTAAAAGTGGGTATAAGACATACATCTTGATCTACTTTTCATCCATACTCTTCAACATTAGGAAGCTGCATCTGGCTTTAAAGAGCTTAGCTAAATATTTAGCTAGTAAAAACATCTTAAATAATGTAGTCTTAGGGCGTCTTCAGTCGGTGGCAATTTAGCGATGGTTTTTGAAGAGGCCATTAATCCCCTCAAAATGTTAATGGAAGTAACATTGGCAGTTTTTGAATACATTTTTGTGAAAATTTTTTCAAGATTAGAAAATATATTTTCAGAGTACTGATCATAGTGCCAAATTCGTCCAAAAAGTAATGGTGTTCAAGGTAGGTTTTCCAACAGGTTCTTTTCCCAATGCAGGACAATTGACTGGTTGTATCACAACCGGCCAGAGAATGAAAAGCAGGCACATTTTTTAGAAGGTTTTCATCCAAATTTAAATAATGTAGGTACTGCTAGAAATCGTTTTAAGTCTCCTCGCCCTGTTCTGAACCATATATCTTTAGTCTTCTTAAAATAAATTAGTAAGACTACAACATCTGTATCGTTGCAATAAATAATGCAGCGTGAATGCCCCGAATTTTTGGCTGACAATATGTGCAATAAGATACGAGTATCAGCGTCTTCGTTATTTGAATTTAAGAAATCGTCTTTTGATGATTCACAATTCTTCCCATATTTATTGATATTCGCGAATCCACCACTAGTTACAAATTGAATATGCTATTGCTGAATGGAGTTTTGAAGAAGTTGCTCTCGCGGAAGTGAAATATTGGGTCGGTCAATTTCTATATCAATTGATTTCTGGGATCCTCTCTTTTGACGTGTTGTATTTTTGTCAGAATGTCCTTTATAATGATCAAATACCACATCTATCATTTGTGCATTAAATTTATTTCTAAAAGTAATCTTTACAAATATTCTTTAAATGATATGCAATTTTTGGGCTTCCCTATTTTGATATCATCTTTGTCTTTGCTACTTGCAACAATAAATCCGTAATTAAAATTTTAAAAACTTATAACTTACCCAAATATATTTAGCTTCAACAGGATGAATGTAGATATAATAAAGACGCAAAAATGTCTATATTTCTTCCCAATTTATTAGGTAATTTAATATATAACACATACACTTATTAATTCTTTAGTAAAAACAGATAACAGTATGACACATTGCCCATTGGAACATAACGAGAAGTTGTGATACATCAGCCGGCACGTAGAGAGAAACAGAGCTATGCTACGTTTGAAGGTAAAGAGAAAGATACACCGAGAGTCGATCAAATTGGCGGTCAGAATTAATTACAGCGTAAACCTTTGACATCTCTCATCGTTTATTGTTATATGTCTGTTAATTCAGAAGAAAAAATATGGTATTTACTCTGTTACCTTGTCAACACATAAGCAAAAATTTTTTGAAGAATTTTTTTTTCATTTAGGCCTTTGTTTTTTGTTAAATGAGTGGTATATTTAAAAAAGACGACTTTTTAACCAAATTTTTAAACGGCTGAAACCGAAATATTTACGTTTATATTTTTTTTCGGCCGTAGAAGCTAATGCAAATAATTTTTTTAAATAAGTATAAACAATTACTCCCTACAAAGATTTTATTGTGCATTTGACCAAAAAATTAGTATTTTTTTCTCTATTCGGTGGTATCAATATCTGGATTTTTGATGATAGTGCCCTTCTGCACAGTCTAATTTTGTATTACCTCCGGAATAAGGGTTACCTTATCATGACCTTTCATCTGTGAAAAATTCAGCTTGTGACAAGAGAGTGGGAAGTAAATCGTTTTCGAATATTTTAATACATACACTTTACTAATATGACAACAGCGGATATTGTACCCTATTGTGTCCCTTAGAATATGTCCTATTCAGGGCCGCACGATATTTGTTAGTAGTTACATCTCCTGGTTATCTCTGGGACGAAGCCTTTGAATAAAAATGGCAAGGGAAGTTAAGGACGGTTAAAAAAACTCCTAAATTCAGAAAAAACATATCATCGTGTTAAACTGTGAAGATTATAATATAGAATGCTAAGCATTATATATCTTCATTCTAGTTTATTCTATAAAAACTATAAAAAATTTCAGCAAAGTCAATATCAAGAAATGTAACAATTGCGGACTCTTAGTATGCGAAAGTTGTTCAATATCTGAAAATCATTTGAAAGAATGTAATTTACTGCAAAAATTAAAAAATGGCCACGATTTGTTGGAAAAGAATCGGCAATTGACGAAATGTCTAACGCCTCTGAGGTCATTACTTCTTGATAAAGAAGATTTGAAAGTAGTTGCTAGCTTAAAATCGCATAAAGGTAACGATTTTTCATTTTGACAAATGTAGTGTTCAATATTTCGATTTTTTTTAGGTAGTCAACACGGTTATGAAGTCCACACATTGACAGAAGATCTAAAATTACAATTTTCATCGGAAGAAAAAGAGTTTTTATATTTCGTTTGTACTGTTTTAGATGCCAACGCGTATGAAGTTTCAATAGAGTCATGTGATAGTAACAGAGGTATGCCCTTTTTAAACATTCCATTTGTTGACTGTCAGTTTAAAATTCCACTTAAATTACTTTTAGGTCTTTATCCTCTTGGTAGTTTATCGAATCATCGATGTTTTCCCAATGTGTTCCATGTTTTTGACGAAAAACACAGGATGGTCGTAAGGGCATCAGTTTTTATACCCAAAAATACAGAATTATTTAATAGTTATACAATATTATTATGGGGGACTATTACTAGGATAACACATTTAAAAAATACCAAACATTTCATTTGTAAATGTGACAGGTAAGTAATTTGTGACTGTTTTATATTTTTAATGAAATTCCTGCACTATATTCACGTAGCATCAATAATCATAATACAGGAAATTTATAACAAAATACATAAAACTATATAGTTATATTTATTTGTAAATGATTAACTAATTGCTTACTAACAATAAAATTGTTTTTGTGTTCAATATGTTAATTTTGTTTTATTTCTCAAATATTTCAGATATAGAGATGCTTTTGTTAATAAATATTTGGGTCCTAATTAACAGTGCTGTTCCTAAAGTGGCGCTGGGAAACAGTAACAAAGCCTACACAGAACACGAGTATATAAACTAAAAAAAACAAACCGTTGTTAAATATTTCATCGTAATTTAAAAAGAAATAAAAACTGACTGAACTATACTCAGGAAATATACCAAGAATTATAGTCCGAGGCATATTAATGAACAAAAAAAATTGTTAAAGTATTCATACTTGAAAATTAATTCAAAAATAGTTATTCCTAATGATTTGATCTTTTCAAATTTAATTGTGACCCTTTTAAAAAATATTTTACTTTATAAAAGTATCTTATTGACATGTAAACATGGCAAGGAGACAACCCTTTATCAAAACTGATTAAACTTCCTGTACTATTTTCAGTAAATATCTGAAATTATAGTCCGAGAAAATTAGATAAAAAATATAACAAATGGAATTAATATTTCCTGAATATAATTATTAATAATAGGTTATATAATTTTTGTTGTATTTCTTTGTAGATGCAAAGACCCATCCGAATTTGGTACATACCTGTCATCCGTCAAATGTAAAAAATGTCCAGGAAACTTACTGCCCATAAACCCTTTACAAAATTCAAACTGGCAATGCGATACATGCACCTCTGTGGAACCATTAAAAGAAGTATACAGAACCTTATCTTTAGTAGGGTCAGTATTGAGAGGCTTTAACAATGAGTTCGAACTCATCCATAGGTTCCTAACGAAAAAATTGATAACCTTGGTTCCTGATTCTAATCAAGTAGCTGTGGAACTTAAAAAGAAAATTATATGGATTTTGGGATACGAGCAAGGGTATTTATTGCACGGTAAATACATAAATAATTTTTATTCTAATAACAATGATTTGCAGAAAAAAACTTTGAACCCTGACACCATTCCCACCAAACATTTTGTGTCACCATCCAATTGTAATAATGGGCATTTAACTTTTATAATTAAAAGGAAGGCATATATAACCCACTACGGCCGACAGTCGGGCCAAAGTCACTTAGCCATCAAATCCAATTAATAGGCCTCCATTTTCCCTTTAATGTCTAGAAATAAATATATTGGCAATTAATGGTCTATTTATGGAAAGTTAACGGGAAATTGCTGGCCTTTACCATACTAATAGTGATTACTGAATAAAGGCCGTGTGCCAGGCATATATGCCCAGACCAGGGTTGTTCCAGACCAGTTTTTGAATGTGAACTTTTCCACAATGAAATTGTGTAGTTTTGTGCAGTTTCAGATATTTGACGTAAAAGTGGAAACTGACACTACTGGCAGTGATGAGTGATGTAAAATCCAAGATGGGTCAGCATTAGCGACCCATCTTCGCCGATAGATGGGCTTGGCTGCATAAAAAACATAAAAAATGATCTGGAGCGAATACAACAAGAATAAATATTTGGGAATTCCCCATTTCCATAATAACAATACCGAAAAATTTCTGACTAAAACGTCATCTGCCAAAGAATAATACAATTATTATAATCTGTACCAGACATACAATTAGGCATTCCAACGACCTGTCCAAATGGCTACTAGTGGGTAATGACAGTTTAGATATGGCAACCCTGTTGTCAAGTTGTCATTAACAGGGTCAATGATACATATATAGTTATATAGATTGCTCAAAGCTGGTCGTTTACGAGCGGCCATATTGCCTGGCAAATATTTATTAATTTGAATCGGTTTAGCAAAAATGTGTTTTAAAACCAATTATTAGCCTTTAGATATTTAAAAAAAATTGCTTACATTTTTACTTCAAGGCATAAGCTTATGTTTATTTTGAAAAATATGGATGATCAATCTATGTAACTATCTATTTCATTGACCTTGTCAAATCACCAGGCCTACAGGGTTGCCATAATTTTGCCATATCATAACCCACTGGTAGCCATTCAGTTTGGAATGCCTAATAACATATGTGATGTGTGTAACTTTGTGAACTAAACGCTAGATGGCAGTGAATGCATTAACAAAAAAAGTCAAAGACGTGATTCAAGATTTCAGTGTGCAAGCGAAAAAATTACACAATTGTGTAGCTTGGTACTTGGAACAACCCTGGCCCAGACAGACAATTCGGTAGTATCTTTTTGACTATAAATTCTATATTAAAACAGAAGGCATTCTAATATAGAATATTATAGACATTTTATTTAATTCATATACTAATACTGAAAACGTTAAAGTAAGAAATTACAATGAATACTGAATAGTGAATACCAGCAATCCGAGACGCCATAGAACATGTTTATGCGTTGAGTATGTAGCAAGCGAGCATCGGTGTCTCCATCTATAAACGCGAGACAAACCTCCTGGACTGTTGGGGTTGAGTCTGCGGCAGTTAAAAGCCTTTTGACTTTTACTATACTTTTGCCCAATACAGTTACTTACCCTTCGTACGGCCATCATCAACCAACATATTGTCGGGCCACTATCGAAAGGCCAAAAGTAGGCTTTTTTCTTTTAATCGTCGCATTAATGTTCTTTTCAATTACAGCAAATGGCCAGCAATATCCCGGCAATTCATTATTTGTCATTGTAATCATTTCAATTAACATTTTATGTTGAAAAAAAAGGGAGGTTCCTGAATGAATTTAAGAAAGTACGACATGAAGTAAGCCTTTAAATAAAAAGGAAGAAAAGAAGTCCACCAGTTGTTTGCTTCACACAACTATTTTGAATGAAGTAAAGTCAGTGCCGGTTCCTTAATGTCTTCTCAAATAACGTCTTTTCTTTTATTCTAAGATTATTTACTCTCTTGTTATTATTAAATGTTACACGGCAATGTGTTCATATTAATTATTAAAAATAGTAGTAAAATGGCTGCTCGTAGGAAATGACAGGTCACTGCCAGGCATATGATAGATTATATTATGGCAACACTGTAGGCCTTGGGGATTTGACAGGATCAATCATATAGATAGTTATATAGATTGATCATGCATGTTTTTAAAAATAAACATAAGCTTATGCCTTGGAGTGAAAATGTAGGTAATTATTTTTATTTTACTATTCAAAGACTGAAAATTAGTTTTAAAACACATCTTTGCTAAACCGATTCAAATTAATAAACATTTGCCGCAAACCATCCGCTTTGAGCAATCTATATAACTATATATGATTAAACCAGTAATTTGTGGGTAATGCAGCAAATGAAAGAGTACTTTTTTAAGTTTATTCCAAGCTTTCGGAAATGTTTATTTCCATCATCAGGGAGACTAAAATAAAATAATACCACATATTATGATAAAGTAAGGTAAAATTTTTTTTTTTATTACTTACATCTTAAATTAAGGTTGTTCATTTTGGTGGTATTATTCAGTTTAGTGTAAAGATACAAAATGGACAAGCTGAAGTCAATTACAAAATAATATACACAAACAATAACTACGATACTTTAAAACTAAAAAAATATAAATAATGAAAGGTCAATTTGACAATTTGACATGACAAGTAAAATTTTAAATAAATAACAAGTTATTAGAGGTTAGGAAATAAATGTGGATAATGCTATGTTTACATAACATTAATATTTTTTAAATGTTCAAATTCTATGAACAAAAAGACAGATATTAACAATTTAAGTGAAATTTATTCTTATTTATTGGATTTGGACAATAAACCAAACCAAATTCATAATTTAAATAATACAGAGCTAATTTAATATAAAAATCACTCTTTGAACATTTAAAAAAATATTAATGTTATGTAAACATAGCATTATCCACATTTATTTCCTAACCTCTAATAACTTGTTATTTATTTAAAATTTTACTTGTCATGTCAAATTGTCAAATTGACCTTTCATTATTTATATTTTTTTAGTTTTAAAGTATCGTAGTTATTGTTTGTGTATATTATTTTGTAATTGACTTCAGCTTGTCCATTTTGTATCTTTACACTAAACTGAATAATACCACCAAAATGAACAACCTTAATTAAGATGTAAGTAATAAAAAAAAATTTGACCTTACTTTATCATAATATGTGGTATTATTTTATTTTAGTCTCCCTGATGATGGAAATAAACATTTCCGAAAGCTTGGAATAAACTTAAAAAAGTACTCTTTCATTTGCTGCATTACCCAGAAATTACTGGTTTAATTATTAACTAGTCAGCAACGACTATCAACTCTCTTAACTATATATGTATCATTGACCCATTGCCCACAAGGTTGCCATATCTAAACTGTCAGTTCCCACTGGCAGCATTTTGTTTCTCAAGCTTCTTTATATAGAATTAATTCTAAAAGAGTTACAACACAAAGTATTAAATCACCTATCGCCACTGAGTAAAGTAACATATTTTTCTTTCAGAATTGCCATTGGAACTTTTGCTGCTGAAAAGACAATTTTGCAAAGACATTTTAGATATATTAATAAAATTAAAACGCGGAAAATGCAAATTAAGAGGACTTTTATGTTATGAACTCTACTTGTGTACTGAAGAGTTGAAACTTAGACAAAACTTTGATCAATGCGATAGTAAGGTAAAAAATAATAAATAATTCTTGTTTTTATTCTTTTTTCTGTATCTATTGGTAGTGTTTGGCATAAAATAATAAATTTTGTAGATTTTTGAAGACGATTCGAAAGCAAATCTTCTCGAAGCCATCGACATTTTAAAATACGATTCCAGCGTTTCAGACAGTTTGAGGCAAAAAATTAACGAAAACCAATAAAAACGAGACTTTTATCATAAAATATTGTCTATTAATATTACTATTCAGTGTTTTATAAATATAATACCTAAGTACATATAATTTATTATAAATTTAAATAAAAATAAAGTGTTTATCACATTATCATCAAAAGTTATTTTACCGTACATTATAATGTATGTACTGGCAACCCGAATAGAGAAGATACTATTACAAGGTGTGCATTCGTCTGCTATTATCGATCCCCTTGGTAACATCGAGTCAGTAGAGCCGCGCTAGTAAATTGGCTTAAACGTTTACGTCACTGAACTAGTTTGAAGTATATAAGTTTAAAATCTATATTTGTTTTGAAGTAATGACGTAATAGTGTCTTCTTTATTCGGGTTGACCTTAGATAAAAATTCTGGTCATTTTTTATCAAGAAAAACAGGTAGGAGATCGATGTTTCTACATGGCCCGATGCAAAATTGATCCATGCAAATTCAATAAATGTCCAAACCAGTTTTTTAAGTCATGCTACGATGTACCGTAACATTCCCTTCAAAATAATTCTCAATACTGTTTCCATAGTTTCCTTTTATTATTGGCAAACTGTTTCTATATTTGAAAATGTCGTTTTCGGGATTTCTAGTCGGTTTACCTCGACTTCCGTACCTCAGAAGTCTGTTGGTAGCTGACCCTGGAGGCAGGACCTTAAACAATGAAATAGTTGTTAAAATAATAAAATTTTGATTTATACTAATAAATTTTATCGAAAATGAAGTGGAGACGACATAAACACTATATTGCGGTATGACATGTTGCGGGACCTCGCTCTGCTCGTCCAGCAAATATTCACTCATTACATAAAATTAGGCATTTCGCAAATGGTTTCATAAATAGCTATTAAAAAAAAAATTAAACTGAAAATGTTGTTTATTTTTGTTATAAAAAAAAACAAAGATGTCCGGGGAAAACTAACCTCAACATTTCAAATTAGAGAACTATGGTCAGGTTGACTAACCTGTAGAACGGTATCCAAAAATTTGTTGTTCTTCTCCTGCGGACTAGGATTGTTTATAACAATCATGGCCTTGTGCTTTTTTTCCAAAGCCGCGTTTTTCTTCATGAGCGATTTCGCTTTCTTATTGAGCAGGTCTTGAGCTTCGGGGTAGTGTATCAGAGCCTCGTTTAGATCGGCTTTACTCAGTACGAAAAGGTTCGAATAACCCTGTGATCTGTAAAGCGAAATTATTAGCTGAAAAATGTACAGATACGGATAATATGTATCTTACCTTACGTCTGCCGTTCTTCTACTCATCCCTGATATACCCAAAAGGCTAATTTCCCCAAAAACAGAGCCTTCAGATAGAGTGGCAAGAACATCACCGGTCGGTCCTATAACCTGAAATTAAAGAAAAATCTGTAGGTTTCAAATCGGGTAAAATCTAGCGACGCGAAGTTGAAAACGATCTTACTAGTACGAAATCGGTTAATCAACTCTTAAAACAGTACTGAGATAAAATTATGTAATGACTTCTGCTATATGGATGGCGACGAAGCCTACTCTCATCTGTAGCCTATCATCTTTCCAACAAAAAGCAATAATTCTGCGATAAATTAAAAAACGGCACCAGCTGAACTGTGATAGCCCTGGGATTATGGTCGGATTTTCGGAAAAATTAAACTGGGGTACGATTCCATTATTTTAATTGGCGGTTTGCGTTTAAAGGTTTATTTTCAAAGGGATGCGGTTTAATGCAGTTATTTCAGTGATGGATAAGAGAACGACGTTATATCGTGGTCGACGTTCTATAGTGAATTAAAGATTCACTGATTGACGGAATAGTTAGGGGTCTATTGACTCGGGGCACCTTAGATGTTGAGAAATTAAGTCGAAAATTAACTTGAATTAAACATTTTTATGATAAAACTAAGGATAATTTAGTAACTTTGTGACAGTACCAGGATAACTTTTAAACAAAAATAAAAACTGTACCTGAACTTTTCCAGACTGGATAATATACATCTCTTTTCCAACATCGCCTTTCTTGCAAATTATGTCGTTTGGCAAGTAAATGACTGACTTCAGCTGCAGCACTAGTTCTCTAAGTAACGCTTCATCGCAATCGGCGAATAATTTAACTTTGCTTAGAGTTTGTATGTGAACGTTTATGGCTATGTCCGTTTTCATCTTGTGAGGTAGACAGTCCATTATGGTATTTTCGTCTGAAACAATAAAATATTTTAGTATTGATTATGAATTTCAGTAATTTTAAGTACCTAATGTCCGCTGAGTTTCCCAAGTGTAATTAAACCACAGCTGAACTCTCCTTTGCACATCTTGCGGCAAGTTCAATCTGCGCATGTATTCCAACGTTTCGTTCACCAATTTCCTGTACTCAGTTTTTGATCTGGTAGCCGTAGAAATGATATCTCTAATCTGACCGATAAGCAGAGCAAAAACAAACACGCCCATTAGCCACGAGAAAGTCATGAACATATACTCGATTTCTTGTGTCGGTTTGGGATTTTTTCCTAAAAATTAAAATTTAAAATATATATTGATTGATCCTGGTACAAAAAAACCAATAAGATACGATGATCATTCAATAATTTTATGAACAAATATATTTTCTTGTAGAAGCTTACCTATAGACGTCGCGGTTTTGGTAGCGAAATAAAAGCACTTGATGTAAGCGTTTCCTTTTCCGTTAAAAACGAAATGATTGCTACCAATGCCTTCCCAAGTTGAAAATGAATAGTACGCGCACGCGTTCAAATGTATCAAGTACATCATGTACATCAGAGTCCTGGATATCCTGATGACGTACGGATTCGATAGTAGTTTATCGATTAAGCTGAAGAATTCCCAGAAAGTGTGGCATTTGAAGAATCTTGGTATACGCAGAATGACGCATTCTGGACCCCAGATTATATAGAGGAAGTCTAAGGGGATAAGAGACAACACGTCCAGCTGAAAAACAAGTTAAAACAAATAGTTTTAATTAACATTAACTCCAAACATGAAGAATTGGGAACCACCCTTGAGGTAGAAAATAAAATCCTAGAAATGAGTTAATGTTCTGAAGTCTGTTGAAAATGGAAAAAAGCTTTCAGTCAGATAATTTTTGATTTCGCAATATTGTAAAATATTTGAGTAAAAATATCAACACAATTTTGATTTATTGGGTCAAAATAAATAATCTTTGTAAGCGGTAAAATGTTATTTATATTATAATTCACCTTGAATCGTCTGCTCTTCATATAATTGCTCCTCAACAGTTTGATATCGATGACCCAGAAGCCTTCGTGCAAATATTTAACTCTGGGTTGAACGCACGTCATGTCGATTAGATAAATCAAATCGGCCAAGTAATCGAACGTCATCCATATGGGTCGATTGAGTTTCGTTTGATATGGAAAAGTGCTTCTTAACGGTATTACCCAAGCGTTGTAAAACACAGCCATGGCTGCTATAGACATCCACGTTACGTAAAATCTGCCATTCGGATCGATTATTTTTCTATCTGAAAGAACGATTTAGAATCATCAGACAGCTCGTAATAGTCCGGAAATGGATCGTGATAGTGACGTAATTTTTGATAAACAAAGTCATAGTTGTCATAATTTTAAATGTGGTTAAGTTTGTGTAGGATGACCATACGTCCATAATTTCACTGTATTGTACAGCGTTATTGTCCAGCAAAACACCTTTATTGTCCAGCAAAACGCCATTATTATCCAGCAAACAATCAAACATTAAACATTTAGACAGTTTGTAAGATTTACTAAAAATAAATAAGACAAAAACGTAATACAGACTTCTCTGTTTTTGTCATCACCTCTCCTAAGTTCATCAATATTGTATTCGTTGTATTCAGAATTGGGTCAAACGAAATATGGTCACCCTAGATTTGTACTTTGTTTATGTTCTGTAATTTGAATTTGTTGTGGTCCTTTTAGAAGTTTAGCCTTGCTTTGAAGAACCAGACCTATACTTCCATTGTTTAATTTAGTTGTATAGCGAAAGCAGTAGTCGGTTGACTCGCGTAAGAAAAGTTACAGAGATATTACAAGATAAAAGTGTATCAATGTAGACTTACCGAAGTATCTGATTAAGCCTTTTTTGCTAGACAAAAATTTGGTATCTTTTTCCTCGATATATCTGTCGGAAAACGAAATACTGAGTTTATGTTTCATAGGTATGGAGTGTTGCTGATGCTCCACTGTTTCTCTGCTGCTTATAGACGAAGGAGTGGCTGGAGTTTCTATTCTTTCTCGTGCAGCTTGCGCTCTGGTGGAAAATGCGTCCACCAAGTGCCTTATACGGTCCTGGATGAATTGTGCATTAGCGGTTCTAAAATACATAGAACAAAATATAAAATTATGTATATCTATAAGGTCTTTTTTTTAACAATTGATTATGTGTAAAGATAATACAAGAATACAATAATAAATATAGAAAAAGCGTTCGACAATGTTCCAAGTCAGCAAATATGTACTAGTCTAAAAAAGGGAAGAATAAACCAGTTTAATAGATGCTATAAAAACTACATACAAACCCACGAGAAATTATCTAAAAACTGGAAACCTACAATCTGAAGAATTTGCCAAAGAGAGTTTAATGCATGAGAAGTTTTAAGTCCGACACTGTTCAATGTGAGCTAAAATATCAGGTAAAGAAATTCATCGTTAGTTGCGGTTTTAGTCATAAAGAGAGCGAAGTCTAAATGCGCCCGTATTCCACCATACGCAGTCAAATAACACTAAATATGTTGTTGTTTTATTGAACTAGGGCATTATAATGAGTGTCGTTATATTACTAAAGCTCATAATTGCCAATTTTCAAGATAGGTCCCTCTATTGCTAAGGGAGCGATATGGCAAACAAGAACATGCGGAAAACGACTAAGGGGAAGACGAAGAAAAAACCTAGGATAGCTGGGATAATGCTGTAGCGGAAATCCTGAAGGAACGTGGACTAAATTAACAAAAAACAACACCTTAACACTTTAGGTTATAAGCAGTGACGTAGCGTAGGGCAAAGGGGGCGAAGTCTTTTTGGGTGCCCAAACGTCTATCGCCCTCCTCGGCCCTCTATAAGCTACGCCACTAGTTATAAGGTTCTGATGATAAAATTCAAAATAAAAATATTGAAAATATAATTTTGTTTTACTTACGTTTGAGGTATGCCACCGTTACTATAAATTTCTTCATTTTTTTCTTTGACAGGTGAAATTTTGACTATTTCAGGAACGTTAATATTATTGCTAGCTTGCTCTAGAGGTTCGCTACACCAAGAGGCAGCATTTTGAGCAGACTTATTACCGATTTGGTCCAAGTTTAGTTGTTCAGGGTACACCATTCTCTGAAAAATAAATAAATAGTAGTACAAGGTGTAAATATATCGACAAACTTTTAAGGGTGGTAAAATAAACATTTTTTTTATTTTATAAACATATTGTATCGTTTGTTTATTTATTTACTAAAATAGTTTATTTATATTTACTAAAACACTAATTTGTATATTAACTAAATTTATTTGTATTCAAAACTACACTGATTTATATTATACACTCATATTCTAATTGATTTTTTTAACTAAAACTATACTAACGGCAAAATAATCTATTTATATACAAAGATGAAGGTTCCTGAAGCGTCCACAAATTTCTTAGTCTGTATTATGCAAAGACATTACAACATAATGTCTTTGGTATTATGATATGGTACCTTCGCTAAAAATTGAAATTTCTTATCGATTCATCGAATACTCGAGAAGGTTTTGGAAGGCTCATCCACCAAATTTTAAACGTCAACGGTGCACTATAATTTACCAGTGAACCATGGGCGTATCATTCGGGGGGATTTCAGAGGTTGACCTAGTCCGTAAAAGACACAAATAAAGCAGAGGAAGACTTATAGGACTAGAGCAGGACCGAACTGGTCGAAAATTGTTCGCATGTCAATATGTCCGAAAACGCTTCGTTTCCTAGATACAAGGTGTTAAAGTTTAAACAAATATATTTTTTTTAGCAATTTGTTAAAGACATTGGGACCGATTTTAATGAAATTTTCACAGAATGTCGAGATCTTGATGAGATTTCATTAGCGTATATCCAAAATGTCCATAAGCGTGCACACGGGGGAAGTCTATTACTTTTTTGCTATAGAGGAATAACAAAATCGAAGTGCTTTTTAAATAAAAAAATTATATCCCCTACCAGCTACCATGTTTTGTTATTTACCAGTTACGCAGATGGTTCACTTTTTTTTAATTGATATATTATAGAGAATTCAAAAAATACTTGTTCTCCAAATTTCCAGTTACAGGGGTGAGTCAATTTTTAAATGATAATTTCCTGTAACCAATAAGGAAAAAATCACGATTTTTTTCGACGGATCTTTACGTTTTGCAGTCCACTAAAACTAAAATGTGTTAAACAACATTCAAGAGATAGACGTATTTATTATTAAAAATACCAAAACACGTCTTTAATTATCAGAAACCTTATTTTACAGCCCAAAACAATTAATACAGACAAGAATCAATATAAAAGCGTTGAATTGGTAATTAAGTATTAAAACGATAAACAAGTGCACAATAATAAAGTTATTTAAAAAATTGTCTAAACATCTAATTAAAGCACAAATAGTGCGAAAGAGCCAAAGTAGCAAAAAATAGAAAAAGTTCCTAAATAAAATGTAGTAAAATGTGTATTAGAAACACATTCTTTTTAAAAAATACTTGAAAACATGTTTAAGTATTAATACGAATAAGAATATATAAAACTGTTGAATTATTAAACTTAAAAATAATGCAAAATAATTTTTTAGGCGAATATCACTAAAAATTAAATTTTACAGATTTATTAACATCCTTAAAGTGTCACTTTTTTGGCCGCATTTACTTTATACAGATTTAGCATACTTATCGTTAGTAATTCTATACAAAATTTATTAGTTAACAATGAATTTTTATTCCATCAATAAACAATTCTTACATTTAAGCCTCTTTTCAAAAAAAGAATGTAAAAAAATTGGCTGTACTTGATGAGATAGTAGCCTAAAAAATGTGTGCACCTCGGCCGTATTATTTTTTTGGCCTAACCAGAAGTTGCTTATCCTCGGCTACGCCTCGGCCGCAAATTTTTGATTTGGTCAAAAAAGATCAACTTTACGGCCTTGGTACACAAATAACTATTAATTCAATGGAAAATAGTCAAAATATCTAAATGAATAGTGCAAAAAAGCCAAAATTAGAGAAAATGGGTTAAATATAATTAAAACACGTAAATCTGCTTAAAAAATACTAGAAAACCTGTTTATCCACAAAAACGGATAAAGTGAAAAACACCAAATTTTAATATTTTATGCACTACGTTTGTGAACGTCGGTTCACTGGCGGTGCATCTGGGAGGGAAGGAGGGGGTACTTATAAGGGGCCGATATATATTTAGAGAATAGCATTCTTTGTCTGCGATGTTATTTTCTATAACTTTTGTCATATACATTATTTATCTAAAATGGACCGTAATGGAAAAATGTTCCCAGATAGCACAGGACTTAGGATGTCCATTTATCGACTGTACGTCCAGGATCAATTCTGGATGTTTTAAGTATTTCCAGTTTAGTAAATCATCGGGACGTCAATAAATAGGTATCCTTAGAACGTCAATTTTACGTGCTTTATTATACAGTGAGCACCATAAGTCTTACCCCCCTATCTAACTCGTTACTGGAGTCTTGTTAGGAAAATAGCCGAGACACGTCGATTTTTAATTTCTACAATGTACATTTTTGTGTGAATAGTTTACCCTTAGTTTCATCCCTTACTGGAGGGGAGCAACCCTTTCGAAAAATTTAAATGGCATGGGGTGGTGAGTGATAGCTCATTTGAAAGAGGGTTTTATTCTCTATTCAACCGTGTAAAAAAATTTAAAATTTGCTTAATTAATTCTCGACTAATTGTTGTTACAGAATAACGGAAATTAACGTAGCGCACTCATCTTTAGAATTAAAATTCCGCCCTGCATGATTTCGGTTTTGGTTCAGACGTGAAGTAAGACTTTTTGCCATTAGAAGGTCACTGTTAGTCTAGTTGCTTTCCTATTTTGTGAGGTTTTGTCATTTTTAAACATTAATAAATCAACACGTAATAAATCACTCACCACCCCATGCCATTTAAATTTTTCGAAAGGGTTGCTACCCTCCAGTAAGGGATGAAATTAAGGGTAAACTAATCATACAAAAATGTACATTGTAGAAATCAAAAATTGACCTGTCTCGGCGATTTTCCTAACAAGACCCCAGTAACGAGTTAGGGGGGGTAAGACTTATGATGCTCACTGTATATATTTCCATGGATACACATTCGCATTGTATTATTATTTGGTTATATTATATAAACAACATATAGAATGAGATAATAGGTCTTTTCCTTTGCATCGAAAGTGTAGCACTGAGCTACACCACTTCTGAAAATATCGTTCCATTTATACAAATTGTATGGATGGAACGATATATTCAGAAGTCCTATTCTATTCTATTCTATTCTTTATTAATCCATTTAAACAGTTATAATGTTATTGGACACGTCAGAATTATAAATATAAAGGTGTATACAATAAATAAAAGTAATTAAACAAAACAATACAGACAAATATAGAAGAGACAAACGTAGAATGGTAGGCGAAAAGGGGCATTTGTATAAATTTATCTAGAACAGTTTGGTGGTGAAGCATGTGGTACAAATTTATATTGAAAATATTCTTGCACTGAATATGGACATATTTCTAAAAGCTGTTGTTTTATTCGATAATTAAATGTTTTTAATGTTGATTCATTTTTTATGCTCTGTGGCAGTTTATTGAATAATTTTATTCCAAGAATTGTTGGTGACTTAGCACAAATATTTAGCTGTGCTAACAGAGGAACAAGTTCATCTTTGTTCCTGGTGCTATATGAATGAAAGTCGCTATTACGTTTAAAATTCGATTTGTTTTTATATATGTATATTAAAAGTTCTAAAATATATACTCCGAATACGGTAAGGATTTTAAGTTTTTTAAATAGAGGGCGACAGGAATCTGTTGGTAGAATACCAGCCAAGCATCTTATAATTCTCTTCTGAGATATAAATACTTCATTAGCATGGGATGATCCGCCCCATACACAGATACCATAAATCAACCTAGAATGTACATTTGCGAAGTAAATTTGACGAAGATGGTGAGGTTTTAAAATGCATTTAAGGTTACGAAGTTGAAAACATTGTGAGTTTAAGGTTGTCGCTAAATTTTGACAGTGAGTTTTAAACGATAGATTTTCATCGAATGTTATTCCTAGAAATTTTGTGGAATCAACTGTATTTATGTGTGTGTTGTTTACAGATATATCTAGACAAGGTATATTAGAATTTTGGTATGTATGGAAATAAATGTAGTTAGTTTTTGTAATATTAAATAATAATGAGAGATTACTAGCCCATTCCGAGAATATTTTAATTGACCTATCGATTTTATTTTTCAATTGTTCTTCAATGGGATCAGAAAACAAGAAAGTCGAATCATCTGCATAGAGAATTGTGAATGCATGGTAAAGTAATTCTGGAAGTTCATTTACATAAATTGTGAAAAGTATGGGAGCTAACACTGACCCTTGGGGCACTCCTATATTATTTATTATTTCTTGAGAGAAACACTGTTTTCCTGAGTTGTTACTTTTAACCATTTGGGGTCTATTTGTAAGATATGTTTCAAACCATTTATTTTGATTGCCTCTAATTCCAGATGAGTGAAGTTTATTTAATAAAACATCATGCTGAACACAGTCAAAGGCTCTGCTAAGATCACAGAAAATCCCAGCCGAACCCCATTCGCATTGTATTATTATTTGGTTATATTATATAAACAACATATAGAATGAGATAATAGGTCTTTTCCTTTGCATCGAAAGTGTAGCACTGAGCTACACCACTTCTGAAAATATCGTTCCATTTATACAAATTGTATGGATGGAACGATATATTCAGAAGTGACGTAGCTCAGTGCTACACTGTGGATGCAAAGGAAAAGACCTAATATAAATAATTATTAAAGATGGCGTTGTCCCAATATCCAATTGAATGAAGGCCAAATAGACAAGAAACGAAGAAGAACATTTACAAGAAAGCGACATTGCTGACAAGTGACATTTTATCATTTTTACTTTCCTATCTGTATACAGATATAAGGAAAGTATAGGAATCATGATTTTTTTCGACCTCGAGTTTTCGACGGATTTTTACGTTTTGAGGTCCCCTGAATCCGTTTTGACTATTTTCGCGATGATGTCTGTGTGTGTGTGTCTGTGTGTGTGTGTCTGTAG